TACTATCTTGTTAGATCTGCGGAATATTGATGTTAAAGTAGATGATGAGGATGCTGCCTTAATTCTGTTAGTATCTTTGCCACAATCATATGAGAATTTTGTGGATTCTTTTATTGTTGGGAAAGATAGTTTGTCTTTGGAAGATGTCAGATCTGCTCTACATAGTAGGGAGGTTCGACATAAGGCGCCTGGTTCAGGTTCGGAAAATCAGGCATCTGAGTTGGCTGCTACCGGTGGTAGGAGACAACAATCTAGTAATAGGAAGACAAATACAATTCGAATTCTGCTGGTTTGAAGTATGATATTTGTCATTACTGCAAGGAGAAAGGACATTGGAAATTTGATTGTCCTAAGCTAAAGAAATAGCAGGAGAAGAAGGAATCACCCGCTGCTGTGGCGGAAGAAACTAACTCTGATTCTGAAGATGGTTTAGCCTTAGCAGTGAATGAGCAGGTACATCATCAGGATGTGTGGTATTTAGATACTGCAGTTGATTATCATATGTGTCCAAGCAGAGAGTGTTTTTCAACTTATGAGCATATAGATGAAGGACATGTTTCTATGGCCAATGGTGTTATCTGTAAGATTGTTGGAAGAGGCTCCGTCAGGATGAGGACACATGATGGTTTTGTTCGCACCTTGACCAATGTTAGGCATATTCCAGAGATGACTAAGAATCTGATATCTTTGAGTCTACTCGACAGCAAGGGTTTCAGTTTCAAAGGTGAAGGTGGAGTGTTGTCTGTCTACAAGGGTTCTAAGGTGATTTTGAAAGGTGCCAAGCGGGGTGCCTTGTATAGTCTACAAGGTTCTGTTTTGACATGTTTTGTTGGTGATAAGTGCAGCAAGTTGGTTCTGAATGGCAAGTCTCAATATGGATTGGATTTGCCGAATGGTTTGAGTTGTTGACCGCCCTTAGGGGCATTTAGAGGCAAAGGATATTCTGGTACAACTGATTTGGAGGAGTTTGGTACATCTGGCAACTTTGGTTGCGTCTGGTACATCTAGTACTTGAGAGAGAATCCAAGTCAAGGTGGAGATTGTTAGAATATGACTTGAATTTGATTTGGGTTTGTTTTGTGTTTTGGGCCTATTCTGTTTGGGTTTGGGTTTGGTCTTTTTCCTTGTATGTTTGGGAAAAGGTGTTTGGTTTTCAGTTTGATATTAGGAGAAGAGTTCTATAAATACTCTTCACCACCCTAATCTGTAGTAAGGTAAGGTCAGTCAGGTTAGTTTGTTTGGTTTGTCCGTTTGGAATTTGGATTGTAACATGTACTCTCCTCAAATCAGTGAAATTTGTCCCCCCGGCCCATGGATTAGCTAACACACATTGTGTTAGTGAACCACGTTAAATTTGTGTTCGTTCGTGTTGATTTGGATTATCGATTGCACGCTTGTGTTCTGACAGATACAAACATTACAACAAAAATTACAAATCCAACATTGTCGCCGGAAATTTCTTCTTCGCCGTTGCTGATCGCCGGAAAGTCTCCTCCGGCCAGTAGAATCTCTCTCTCTAGCAAACATTGGTGGGCCAAAACATCCCCCAAAGCTGTCGGGGAGAATTCCCAAGAAAATCGGCCATCGGGAAAGACCGATGGGAGGAACTGTCCAACCCATTTTATATCTATTTTTATTTTAATGGTTAAATAAATAACTTGGTGTAATTACTATATTGTCATTTATTAAATTGAATTAATTGGGACTATTGGATTATAATGAGTTTGAATGGCTGAGATCGGACCCCCTTAATCACTTGATCTTAGCCCGCACAAACTGGGTTTGAGTTTTGTTTGAAGTAATTTTGGTTCTGGTAGCCGCATGCTTCTAAAATTGAGGGATTGATTACCGCATAAAACTAATCAGCTCTGAGTTGGGATGTGCTTGTATGGAATTAAGGGGTCGTTTGCTTCAAGGATTTGGTACATGGATTTGGTACAAAAAAATCAATTATCAAGGATTTAGGTACAATCCGTTGTTTGCTTGCACCTTTTTTGGAGACCAAATCCGTGGGGCCCACGGATTTTAAGGGTCCAAATCCGTGGACCCCACGGACTTATAAATCCCACATGTTGATGTGGGATTTGGAATATGGCATAAATCCTTGATGAGATTTTACCCATATACCCTCATGCACTTTTAATATTCCAAGGTTGTCCTCAAATTTAACTATTATACATTATAATTAACAATAAATGAATAATATAAACGTTCAATTAATGTGCAAACATGAGTTAGATTTTTTATATCGTTTCTTGTGTTCTAGTTTTCTTTGACCTTTTCGTGGAACGTGTAATTCTTTGTTCTCCCGATTCTAATATATGTTGTTATATGTTACTTTGAAAAGGAGGACAAAGAATTTGTAATTGATTATGTTACATTAAAAGTTAAAACGGAATTTTCTCGTTTATTATTATTGTCCGTGCTTATTAGTATGTATTGTTCTTGTTTTGTGTACATATCATAAACATGTCAAACATATAGAAAATGATAGTAAGGTAATTTTGAAGTTTTGTCCTTGTTTTGTGTACATATCATAAACATGTCAAACATATACAAAAGGGCAGTAATGTAATTTTTTACTTCAAGTAGTAAATCCCACACCTTTAAATCCATGATAAAAACATCCCAACAAACAAAGGATTGTTACAAATCCATGATACCTCAAATCCTTGATAAATCCTTGGGTTTTTAAATTATAAAACCCTCATTTTGAAATCCATGAAGCAAACGACCCCTAAGAAATAAATAGCGCCTAATGGTATAAGGGGTCCAGTGGGGAGTGGGCCGGTATACCGTACGCTTCCTGTAGACCATGCAGATCACCGTCCGCATACTTGCTGGGACGCGATCCCGACCGTTGAATCCTCGCCTCTCGATGCGTCTATTCATCTTTTCCCCTCTCCCCGCGCGTGCATTGCCCCAACTGCTTCTGGCTTTCCCCCGTCGACCGGCTGGCGGTGAGAAGCTTCGTAGGAAAAGGTTGCACAATCTCGGGAAAAGGGTTGCGAGGAAAGGGTGCACAATCTCGAGGCAAGGGTGAAAGTGCAGAAGGATGAACTTGGTGACGAGGGTTTCGATTTCAGTTTAGGCTCATCTCCACCTCGCTGCCGTTCGATTCCAATGGATCCCCACTCCCTCTTTGAGCTGAGAAGATGGTTTCGGTTGTGGACTCACCTCCGCCTCAGTGGAGCTAGCCGAGAACACACCGAGCTTTGCCAATATCAGTTTTTTATCTCCTTCATATTGATTCGTTTGAGACTGATACCAGCTCATCATATTTTCGAACCACGCTACAAACGGACAATCTTCTACTTTGTAACAAAGGTGGAGAATAAAGATAGTTTTGAATGTTATTGTTCGTTATTGTGTTGTACAATATCCATGAGATATTGGATATTAGGATGCAAATTATTGGTTAATATCCATTAGAGATTCGGATACAAACTATAAACTATTAATCCTATCAAAATCGCAAAATGCGTAAGTTTTCTCTACACAATTGGTTGATATGAAAATTTTGATGCAAATACTACATGGATTCACTTAAGACCAAGTGGGAAGTGCCTAAACTGATACAATCTTAGTAATTTGCTAGAAACTTATTATAAATGTTAGTCAACTTTCTTAATGGTTAATTGGAGAATAATTTTTATCTGTTAATTAACCCACGACCCAATAGCACCCATCTGCCACACACTCAACCCGACCCTAAGAATAATGTGAGTGGATATAGCGGGTCACAATTATACCAACTCGCAAGTAATTAAGTAGGTGAGTCAATTTTATGCCAAAACCCTTCCCAACCCACCCATCTCCCACACCTATGGCTAATTATGAATAAGAGCCACGTGAGGCAAATATTGTATGAGGATTAGTATAGAAGTTGATAAGTATCCCAGTTTAAATTGATGAGATTAATGCTTTAAATTTTATAGTATTTAAACAATTCTATGTGTACATATTCATAAACACTATTTAATTGTCACATTTTTTGGTTTCCATGCTTCTTTTCACGATATATGAAATGAATTTTTGGTGATTTGACCATCATAACTTCATGCTATTGAAAAAATTTATCCTTGATATAGTATTACAAATTTTCATGAGCAAAAGTCATGCATTTATATCTTGATAATTTCTTGAATATTATATGATGAATTTATGTAAACTTCCAACTCATCAAAGATAACGATATAAAATCAATCTACAATCAAAGTATCTTTTATTCTAATTCAATATTTCAATTATATATTCACACCATCCGCGGCAAAGCGCGGGCCAATTATCTAGTACATTATAATAGCGGGTCTTGGACTTTTTTGTTTTCTCCCTTGTAAACTTCGTTTGTATCGGAGGGAACATCAAGCTTACAAAACGGTTAACATCTGGAATGATCTATTCTGCAGGAGAGCCAAAAATAGTGGAAATGAAGTAATTTTGTTATTGTAACGGGTATATACAAGTAGTTTGGATACCCGTTATCCGTCTCGTTTGAGTAGGTTGGTACCCGTTAACCCCTACAGGTTTGGAACATGAGATAGAATTTTCACTTCAAATGAGATTGAATACCCGTTTGAAGTCGGGTACCTAATTCCCATCCCATTGTCCACCATAATTTGTCCAACTAATAATAAATATCTATATTTATAAGAATAATTATGATAATAACATGTTTCTAACATTTTGCAACTAACTTCATGGATTCATATTAGGAAAGACTAGGAACCATTCCTCTAGAAACACCTAATTAATCGTACGTCTTCGCTTCCAATAAGATTACATGTTCAAGAGTGATAGAGCAGGGGGAGGTAAAGAATCCGACAGATAAACAAAAAATGATAAAAGGAAAGGAAAAGGAAAACTATTCAATAGTACAACAAGACTTCGCATGGCTTCATCAACTATCCAAAACGGCGATCGCCACCAGCTTCCCTTCCTTTCCTTTCTTCTTTATCAAGAATTAAAGTGAATGAATGTAAATACATGTACTTAATGTTTTATTGCTCCAGAGACAACCACTCTAACTCTACTTCTAACTCCCCAGATTCTACGTTCTGGAGCTTGAGAAACACTTGTTGCTTCACCTTCCCATCCACGATGTTTACTGTGCTATCCTCTATGAGAGCATTGTCAGCTGATTTCAACCACTTACCAATCTGCATGTTCCCAAACATCTCCGGGTCACCATACGCCATTGCCGAGTTTATCAATGGCTGCAAGTCGATCGCTGCCTCCCCCATTATGTCATCAGCAGAGAAAGTGTCGTAGTCAAACACTCGCTGCAGTTTTTGGGTAGTAAATAATGTTTTCGTTAGCGACTTGCAATGCTCCCTCCATCTCTCCCTACTTAAGTTTTTTGTCATCAGAGGAAGGAAAAAAAATGCTTACCAACTTCACAGTGCCATAGTCTTGTGGAACTGAGAGCATGAGTTCCTCATCCCATACTGGATTCAGGTTGCTCCTAGCTACAGTGGTCTGGACAGTCTAGCAAACAAGAAAAAAAACAGTTTCAAGAAGTCAAAAATTGGCAAAAAAGAAACAAAAACGTGTGAAGCTTTCCTTTACCAACCTGTTTACCGAGATTGAGGATGACATAAGGATCACTTGACAACATATCTCTCACAGCCAAGTTTGTACCCTTCGCAACCTTCACCTTCAGTAAACCAATGAATTCTACCATGCCATCCTGAAGGCAGGGCTGTCGGAGTTAATTCAAGTGAACAAAAATGTCACAGCAAATGAACTTGTCTATGCTACCGAATTTCCTAAGGGTTCTCGGTTACTAGAATGTAACAGTATGATATTCAGATAAAGCAATTTTGCCTTGGGGAATTTCAAATTGACTCATTTTGAGACAATTACAATTATGTGGGATGGGGCAGACAATTCGAATTGACTCGTTTTAAATGACTCATTTTGTAAAATGAGACAATTGGCCAAAATGTCTCGTTTTTCAATTGATCCATCCAAACGATCCCTAAAGAAAAAGGTAGAATGGCAATTACCGTAGATGATGCACTTGTGGTACTGAATGAATCCATGATCCTCTTGGAAAAGCTTAACTGGGAAGATACAGCAGACTTTCCTGAGGTAATTCGCAAGCCAGGTTTCATATAATCTTGGAGCTCATACTTAGATCTGCGTTAGGTAAACGAAACGGATTTAACAATGAAGCCATTTTGTTGGTGTATTTGAGAAGGTGAAACTTGCAATAGAAAATGTATAGTTTTCACCAACATTTTTTATGTGTTTGAGTGCATTTGAAATTGTACAAGCAATAGCAAACGCAACAAATTTATGCAATCTAATGTACTTTGGGGTATGACGTATTCGAAAATACACTCTAGAAATCGTGACCCCCATGCTTCTTTTTCAAGTTTCTCGACCACAAATTCACTTGTCCAAACAATACTCTTTGGACTTACATATGACAGAATAACATACAAAATGAAAGATGCAAATGTTTCACAAATCTATTGAATACCAAACCAGTACAACACCAGATCTTCACTGCACACTCCCAAATTGCATATTGGGATTTATTCCTCAAAACTCACCATTTATTGATAAAATACTGAGATGAAGACAACGAGATAAAAATATAACTGCAAATTGAAGGCAGCGGGATGGAGACAAATAAAGCATAGGATGATGGATTATGCAACTTCTCTATCCATATTCAAGGCATTTTTACCTGATGAATTTTGAACGCTCATCATGACTGGCATCCGGTTTAGGCTTTGATACTCCGTCAGGTATATGAGCCTCATAAATTGAATTAACAGCTGCATTTCCTCCAACTTCAGCCATTGAATCAATCTCTTCCTCCATCCAGTCATCCAGTGTCACTGATAAAACCTGCACACTCCAATTAAAGTTGTCAACTGAAATTATGTCCATTCCATATTGTCAGTTTAGGTTAATTTAGTTTGCTTACCTTTGAGATATGGGTACCAAGGCTTCGGTGCACACTGCAACATTTTAAGCAGAGGAAGACTCCAATATTTGCAGACCTGCAAAATAAGATTGGAGGCAGTTTCTCAATCAAAGGGCCTATCAAAGACATGTACACGAATTCCATTACTCTGGGCTTGATCTTGTATACTTAAGAGTGATTAGAAGAAAAAAGAAATCAAATTTTTGGGATACTTATACAAAGAGGGTCTTAAACTTACGCCCATTTAGGATCCGGAGCACCACAATCAGCACAGGTACGATTATCACTTTGTTGCTGCAAATCTCTTAATTTTCTCCTAGCTGCAAAAGAAAAAGTATCGATGGGCAGTTAGCTATGAGCTAACAGAATATAAAGACAGTGAAATGAGAATTTCACACAGAAGGGAATGGTAGGGTGCTTAGGGAAAAAGTTCTGCAACCTAAGACCCGTAGCATTCATTGACAATAGCAAGAAGTTAAAACACTCTTATTCCTATGTTGATTGCTGAAGGAACGGAACATACTATATTGATCTTATCTATGCATTATGAACCAAGGACAGATGACACCGGGGCTTTCAATAAATTCAATCATGTTCAGAAGAGATTCCTTTTATTTGGCCACTTTAAAGATCTTGACGACTTCAGCAGATAAACTAACAATCGAAGTATTAGGGAAGAAACACTAAATTCCTGACCCTCGCAAGGAGCACTTTCCAGGATGCATACTGTACAAGCAAGCATATACCTGAGGGGTTTTTCTGAAGTTCTGTCAAACGACTCATTGCTTTGCTGATATCCAAAGATCATCAAAACAAAGCCCACTCCTGATGTGTAATAAGAAAAGCTTAAGCAGCATCACCCACAAAGCACAGCATACAGAGAGAAAGATCAAATGAAAAGCAGATCCAATGAAGGACAGTGCCACTGAACTTAGTACGATATCAAACCATGGAACCATCAAGAAATAAGCACTAAGCTTTAGGAACACAATGAGAAATTTGATCGATTGGGGCCTTTTGAGTGCAAAATTTAGGAAATCATGAGCAAGCTAAACCCTTCAAATTGGTGATAGGAAAGATGCAATTAATCTTTTCATTTTAGGCCTCAAAGAAGGATCCTGCTCTTCTGCTGCTAATTTGGTGCTCAAGAGAGGGCAGAAGCCGGAGAAATTAACCCTGGACCTTCAATTTCTTCCCCCGTTATGCGACAACCCAGGAATTCACAATCCAAAAGATTGCAACTTCCGGGATCTTTTGCATTCCACAAGTTCCGAACCAACCCAGAATTCAGATTCCAAAATCTCACGCAGACAAAAATGCGTTTATTTCCGTATGCATTAATGATCCATCATATACTTAACAAACAAACCAAAGGGAAGGCTCGTCGGCAAAAGGCATCAGAAACAAAATCAGGATTTTGCATTTTCAACCACCCATCTATACCCAATCACCGGCAAAGCAACAAGGGTGGTGAGAGAGAGAGAGAGAGAGAGAGAGAGAGCAGTTTGCAAAGGGAAGGAAGCGAATCGAATCGTCGAGCTCAGGAAACAAGGAGAATCAGCTGACCTGAGTAATTCCCGGCGACGAAATCCTAATGTCTGACTAGAGAATCAAGTAAGCTTTCCGGAGCCAACTCCTTTTGCCGCTTGGTCTAAGAGAGAGATGGGGAAGAAGGAAACGGTGTCGGAAAATGTGCAACGCGGTGACTTTCGGAGATAGAAAAGTGGAGAAAGAAGCACCACCACAATCTTTCAATCCGCGCCATGCTTTTGATGAACTTTGGGAGAATAGTATGGTGATGGTCAGAACTCAGAAGGTGGGATGACTTTTTTATTGTATAAGCGGTGCCAAATTATTATCATTTCGTTTTGGTTTTACTTTCGGAACTATGTTCTTTCCAACATTTTTCTCTGAATCCAAACGGTAAAGATTCGATCTTTCTAGGACACTTTCGCTCAAAAACGAGAAATCGTTGAATCTTCTTTTCCTCTCTAATGTTTGTCCATTTCCATTGAATCAAGGACGAGGTTACTCAATGTTGACAAATTACAACAAATAAGGTTTTGACTTTTTGGGCATTATGTTCACAACAATTTGTTTTTATTTTTAGGGTTAATATCTTAGTTTGGCCCGAACTATACACATACTTTTTACTTTGGCCCGTAGTATTGGAAATTGCTATTCTGGCCTGAACTATGTAGCAAACTTCCTCATTTGGCCTGGAGGCGGGTTTGACCGTTAAATTAGACGGTCAAACTTGTTGACCGTTAGTCAATGTCCACCTCACCTGCCGCGTCAGCTTTGAGGACATAAAAAAATATTTTTTTTATTTCTGAATTTTTTTTTCTTGTCCTTTGCTAAAAATGGGTCCCTTTTTCTTTTTTTAATTAATTTTTTTGATTTATTATTTTTATTAATCGAAAGAAAACAAAATTCAGAAATAAAAAATAATAATTTATTTCCAGAATAGCAATTTCCAATACCACGGGCCAAAGTAGAAAGTATGTGTATAGTTCAAGCCAAACTAAGGTATTAACCCTTATTTTTAAACAATTCACTTTATTCAGGTTGTCATATTAGTTTATACGGTTATGTCGGTTTGGCAAGTGGTATAAACTTTGGGAGAATAGTATGGTGATGGTCAGAAGGTGGGACGCCTTTTTTGATTGTATAAGCGGTGCCAAATTATTATCATTTCGTTTTGGTTTTACTTTCGGAACCACTTTCCAACATTTTTCTCTGAATCCAAACTGTAAAGATTCGATCTTTCTATGACACTTTCGCTCAGAAACGAGAAATAGTTGAATCTTCTTTTCCTCTCTAACGTTCGTCCATTTCCATTGAATCAAGGATGAGGTTACTCAATGTTCACAAATTACAACAAAGAAGGTTTTGACATTTTGGGCATTATGCTCACAACAATTTGTTTTTATTTTAAACAATTCGATTTATTCAGGTTGTCATATTAGTTTATATGGTTATGTCGGTTTGGCAAGTGGTATGAACTTATCGGTGATACTACAGGTTGATGTCGGTTTTAGCAAAATATGTAAGAAAGTGAAAAATCATTAAAATTAAATGACGTTAGGCATATATATAACATATTCTAAAACAAATTCTCTAAAATCTACATCCATATTTAATTAAAATGCAACATTTTCAAACAAAATGAAAATTTCTTATATTTATTACAACTTTTAATATCAACACCCAAAAGTTTATACTTGAATGCAACAAGTAACATAAACGTTTAGCTTTCAATTCAGGAAACAAATCAAAAATTATTTTTTATTAGTTAAATTCGCCATTTAGCCTCCCTCAACTTCCCTTGACCTACTTTGATGAAGATATCCTAAACGACATTGACAGCAAGCTAGAAAGACTTGAAAATATCGATTATAGCATTGTGAATGGATTCACAAGAAAATGTGCTAGACTCTGTGTTGAAATTGATGTGCATAAGCGCCTTGTGAAAAAGTAAAGATAGAACACTTCTAGGATGCCTAGCCAAACAAGAGGACTGGAAAATCACTAGGGGACGCAACAGCAAGTTAAGATAAATAACTTTATAGGGTGTTAACTCTAGGATTCCAATAATTGTTGGAACAATGGATGCAATAGAAGACATAAAAAGCATAACATTAAATGAATAAGTTTAGGAAACACATTACAAGAAGAATTCCAAAGAGAAAACTAAAGTAGTGAAGAGTGATACAAAAATTCCGAAAGTGAAAAATGATAAAAGGAAAAAGTCATAAAGCAATAGTGCACACTAAAGAAAGACAATATAGCCTCATCGGATAACTCAAAACAGGGAGGTAAGAATAAAGCACATTCGGCCACACAACAGTTAAACTCCAAGTCAAGTAACCAAGCAAAAACATCGGATAAGAGTACTCACCCAAACCTAGAAGGTCAAACTCCTTCAAAGTAAGTGGAAACTTTGTGATCAAGGAATATGAAAGCCACAAATTAAGAAGAAAAAGGAAAGAGCATATACGAGGAAGGATATAAAAAAAAAGCATTCCTAAGACTAACTTCAACCCATAAAGTCAAATTTGGCTTCCAAATAGTCAAATATGGCTTTTTACCTTCCCAAATCTCATTTTTACTCCAACCCTATAAAAAGATAAATTTAGCTTCCCATCTCCTTTTTTTTAATAAAACATACTTATTTGGTCCTTAATTTTTATATTTCACTTTAACTTTTTTATAGTTCGTTATTACTTTTGAAAACAAAAAATTTTATGTAAATTTTTTAAAATTCCGAAACAAAAAATATTTCGAGCATTAGTCATTCATTTGTTATCGTTAACTTTGGGAACACTCTAAATATAACATTTTTTTAAGGCCGTTAAAATATAATCGCTACAATGTAACCGTTGTTTCGTCACTACATGAATGATTTCTCATTTAAATTTAAAATACATTCAAATAGAACAACAACCAATCACAAAGAAAGCGAGAGAAAAAAATTGGTCTGCGCGGGGCCACTTTATACTCCAGCCATATTTGGCTTTCCAACGAAAAGAGGAGCTATATTTGGCTCCTAGAATGATCATACCCATATTTGACAGCCAAAAATTTTGTGGGTTGGAGCAAAAAAAAAAAGCTAAATTTTGCTTTTTAGCTCTTTTGCTCCATGGGTTGGAGTTAGTCTAACCCAATGAACCAAGTAACAGAAAAGGGAACATCATAACACATTTTTCCAAAGCTAGGCCCTGGATACTATGATCACCTACGCCAGGAAGATTGACTTCACTGACAGCAAATGCGAGCAGAAAAGTGAACATGAGAATGTCCAACCATCTACATTGTCCAATAATGATATTAACATAAGTGTAGGTGAGACAACAATGGTTTTCGATGCAACCTAAATTTTTTGATCACCTGGTCAAATGAGGGAAGTTCATCCTCATTTATATTTAGATGATTAATGTCTTTTTCTGAAATTGTAGGAGTGCTAATACATCATAAATTATACTTATTTTTAGTCCCCATTTGATGTTCTTTGGGATATCGTTTAGGCAAGATCTATATTTTTGCCAATTTTCCGCTCAGCTTGTTGTTTTAGTGTGTGGTAGGTCACCATGGGCAAATCAAGTGATTTTTTTATGGAAAATGCACTAAAGATTGGAATTATGAAGTTGAGGATGATTTGGAGAGCATTTGGACGTGATTTAAAGATATTACGAGTCCAACACGACCTAGCGCATGACCGTATTTGGAAGGTTTTCCTATTTAGGTTGTGATTAGGTTTTCTTGATGGGGGACGGCTATACTCGATCTAAAACCTCAAATTTAAGTTAGAGGGAAGAGAAAAAGGTTTTTTAGTAGCTTTACCCATAGGAGTCGATTGGTGGCAATCAATCAACGATTCTAGCATGGAGATCATATCTTCTTCTTTTTTTTGTTGGGACAGGTAGACTCGGCCAAAACCCTTCTAAACTAACTAGGAAAAGGTTTCTTTGACTAAGGGTCGAAGTCATGGCCGAAAGATCTTGTTTTGGGCTTGGGATCACATAGTGGTTACTAGTAGGTTTCTCCGTCATTGTACCTTGTATTTATTATAAATTATACATATTCCTCTCTTTATAGCTCTTTTGGTCATCTAGAGTTCTCCAATGTTGGATGTATCAAGAATGAGAGTGACAATTACTATAAATAGAGAACCAAATTGAAATTTGATCCCATTCTCTACATCTTCCTTGAGATACTCCTTGAGGTCATCACTTCTTTAGATTGGTTTCTCCAATTTGTACATGATTTTTCCCACATGTAAGGTTACTTCTCTGTTGACAACATCAATTCTTGCTGGAACAGAGGCATGGAATGGCCTTCCAAAGAGGATTGGACATTCTTTGTTTGTCTCCATGTTAACCACGAGGTAGTTGACTCACTAAAACTAACACAACCAGACTTCGACCAAGTGTAATCATAGTCTAGCTTGGGGCAGTCCGACGACGATAACGAGAATCCCGGGATGTCCAAACGTTTAATCCAACGCAGAGCAGAGAGCCATCCAAGGCCAGGCATCCCTAAGCCACTCATTTTTTGCTCTTTTTTCGCCTACTTCCTTGAAGCAACGTAGTGCAGTTGGCAGTGGCCGCTTCGCCGCCGCAGCCGATAAAAGCAAAGTTGGTTTTGGTTTGGGGTTCTGGGAACCATGACAAGATGGTTGGTATTCAATTTTGGTAGTTATAATAAATTTTTTGTTAGGATGAGGTGGAAATTATGAAGATTAATTTTTATTATTTTTAATTTCCACATCACTTATTTAACAGTCAACTCTCAGAGTTGACTATCACGTCATATAAAGTTAACGGAGACTAACGGAGAGTGATCAAAGTTGAACTGTTGAACTAATTTCAGTGATCACGAATGAAATAAAATAATTGTAGTGGCAAACGTAAAATATTTTAGTAATTATAGTGACCAAACATGCAATTTACCCAATTTGTTATAAATAATTATCCCGCCGATGGGAATAAGGAACACCATTAACACGAATTAACAGAGAAAGAATTACACCGCTTTTATTCCGTACGCTCGAACACATAGCACACCGATATAACATATGAAATAGATAGAAAGAAGAGAAGGAGAGCTTGTATTGGTGTGTCCTTCTTCTACAACTATGCCTTTTATAGGCAATGGTGATCCAATCTCATAATGATGGGGAGAAGAGGGAAGTTGGGGAAGTGGAATCAATTGACATCCACACGTATATATAATTTCATAATAAAATTAAAATAGTCGACCTTTGAGAGATCTGTAATGTCCAAAATAAAGTAAGTTGAGGGTAGAGCTCGAGTATCCTGAAATAAGGGATTTTAAGAGAAAAACTGTGCTACAAATTTTCTTGTTTGTGACGAGCGATAACATGACTATCATAGGTCTATCTTGTAGAACTTTGGTAATGTTCTTTGATCCCACTCTCTAAGAAAATTCGATTATGTTTCATTTATTATGAGACTTGAACATTTTATGAGAATGAAGTATGGAACAAGCATTGATCGGCGTTTGTATTCTTTCTCCATATTACCTTCTTTTTAAATAGGGGTCGAGCACTCATATCAAGGATAGTTTATACTATATTGAGAGGTGTGTTCGATTTTAGAGGTGTAGTGAGAATCTTTGACTTAGATTGCATTTATGTTTTAACAAAGTGGGTTGTAAATGGCTTGCGAGTAGAATATTCGTCGAAGAAGTTATTTATGTCGAATTTTAGAAGAGACAGACGAGGAAGAGTTGCTATTAATGACCTTGAGCTCTATTAAGTTCTCCATGGCTAAAGTTTAAGTAGAATGAACAAGTTGTCTTTTCCTTTTTGAGTTTATATGGAATCTCATCATATTCGATATACATTGAGCGATATTGGGGGGGGGGGGGGAGTTTTTAGATGACAGTGTAGTTGAATTGCAAGTTTTTGAAGTTAATAGCTTTTGAAAGCTAATTGATCGCCTTTTTCAAAGTGCGACTACTTAAGACAAGTGTACCTATCGTAGAGGCAATACAGTGACAAGTAAGGTCGTATTCCACAAAGACTATGAACTACAAGTATCGAGTTATGTTTTTTATTATTTAACTGATCTCTTCAGTTCACTTGATTAATTAAACTAACTAACAAAGCAATGAGATTCAACAAAGACATATCGCTATTACGAAGGCAAATTCAAGTAGAGAAGGCGTTATTCAGACTTTGAATCCCCCTAATTAATTCATACCTCTTCAATTGAATCTACATAGACTCGATTTTATATTATTTGAAAGTAGGAATTCGAGAATTGGTATTAACCCGATTTTCTCATGTATTAACACCCTATTAGTCGATTCAACCTAGATATGATATTCTCCTTGACCTAATTCAATTCGCTAATGATGATCACTCTATGAATCCCACTATTAGGCTTAAACCTAATGTAGAAGTCCCTCTCCCTCCATCTTTTGGTAGCTCGAGGTCCTTTTTATCTATGAGTGTTATATTGTATATATGGAGATCTTCTCCTCGACATACATACACAACAAGCAAGCATACAACATGCCTGCTTCTACCGCATACTTGAAATATCATTCATAGACAAATCAAAGATCATAATCATCAAGATCCATGTAATATCATCAAATCAGTGCTAGAGCTCATCTACTCCAAACAATAAGACATGATTAGTTCATGGCTAATGGTGAAACTACCAAAGGAGTGAAGAAGAACCGTTTTCCATCATGAGAGACTTGATCGAATGCTTCAAGGTGACTCTTTTGGGGTAGAACTTGTGGAAAACCTCCTCTTCTGCTCACTAACTTGTCTCTGATCGTATTAGGGCTTGCATGCCCAAAGTCCCTCATCAATTAGGCGTAATAATGCTTAAATCGTTAAGACAAAGAGTCGTTGATGGGTACGGTCATGGCCGCGAGGCTACCCATGGGTGAAGTACTCTCCCGACACTTTTAGCAACACGATGTCACTTTGGAGGAGAGACTGCCATCATTCATGATCCAAGGGGTGTTCACGGCCTAAGTAACGGTCATGGGGTGTTCACGGCCCGAGTCGCGATCGTGACATTGGTCGTGAATGGCTTGACACAAATTTTCTTCATCCTCAATTGCTCTGCCTTCCTCACCACTCTTTGTCTAAGTCATGGCCATGGGGTGTTCACGGCCCGAGTCACGGTTGTGACATTGGTCGTGAATGGCTCGACACAAATTTTCTTCATCCTCAATTGCTCTTCCTTCCTCACCACCATGCCATAAGAAGTCTGCACAGATTTTATGCACTCGTTTGAGTACATTTTTGGGCAGCAGGAACACCTGCATCCAAAATTGCAACTCCCATAACCACTGAGGTTAATAACTGCAACCTTCATGCATAGCAGAGCTTTTTAACCTTCCAGATTTTAATTTTCCGAGTAATTTAATCCACCAACCTATCGCATTCAGCAGAAGAGAGCTTGCCTGAAACAGTGGAAGACCCAAATATCGAACTGTAAGCTTGCACTCCTAGAATCCTGACAACTTAAGTGCATTTTGCTTGAATACCATAGAGCAACCCCCAAAATAAACTTCACATTTCCTGGGGTTATATTGTAACCCAGATAACTCATAAAATTCCTTGAGAACACTATGCACTACAACAATTGCTCTAGCAGAACCCTTAGTGAATATTAAAAGGTCATTAGCAAAGCTAAGATGGGTGAGCACAACCCTTTTACACTGTGGATGAATGGAAGAGACCCGGAAATAGCTGCAGCATTAAGAAGCATAGATAACCCTTCCATGACAATAGTAAAAACATAAGGCGACAGGGGATCACCCTGCCTAACCCCTCTCTTGGCCCAAAGTAACCGCACAATCCTCCATTCACACAAATACTAAAACGAGCAGTCTTGACACATAATGAAATCCATTTGCTAAAGTGATATGATCCCAATTGGCCAGCTCTACACATTTAAATTACTTGACAAAGAAGCTATCGAAGTTGGGAAGAAGAAGGGCAAAATTTGGCTAAGTCAAATTCCGTGTTCATGGTACCTACTTTGGAAGCCCGTATCTCACAAATGGCTCAATGGAAGTTGGGGATCAAGAGCTTGTTTTACATATAAAGTTGCCATATTTCCAATGGTATACTTATTGGATCCAGAAAATGTCATTAAGGTTGTTTTCCAAGTCCTCAAAGTTGCTACCTCAAAACTGGAAAACTGACAGAAAATGGTCAAGGCAGAAAACTGTTTTGAGATACCAACTTTGAAGGCCTATATCTGGAGTTTGGAGCATGATATCGAGCTGTTTCAAGTTGGAGATGAAAGAGAGAGTTTTCTTCTACAAAGGAAAGGAATTGTTTGATTTCGAATCCACCTAGAAGACCATTTTCGAATGGCTCAAAGATGCTATGAAGCCTGTTTTCCTAAGCAGACTTGCTTGTTTTTTAAGTCAGTTTCTTGGCTTGCAAGTTACCTTGTTTTACACGAATTCTTTAGCCTTTTCCTGCTCTAATTAGTTTCCTTGTTCATGTAGGGTTGTATTAGGTTTGTATTGTCTTTAAATACCTTTTCAATTCACGTTGTAAAATAAGAATTAATTAATCGAAAAGAAGCCGTTTGGTTTTGTGCAAGTTGCGACTTGTTTGAGCTTGGTGGATTCCAAGCTTGTCACCTTTGTATCGATTGAATATCCTCTTCATTCGTGGTCGAGCAGCTACCCTTTAATCCAATCGAGCGTTCCCCAGGTGTGGAATCGTCCTTTTGGTTCCGTTTTATCCAAGTTTTAGTTGAATGAAAATTGCTCCTTTGTGAGAATTGTGTTCTTTGAGTTGTCTCTCAAGAATCAAATCCTTGAGTTAGTTTTGTGAGGATTCCATTGCTAATTCGAGAACCCCTGTCAAACTTTTCTGTGAGGAGGCCAGAATCGTTTAACAAGCTTCTTATCAATCAAGTAAACACCTTGATTGTGGCGAAGTTCTACCTTTTCCATCATTATCGTTCGAGAGTGTGTTTGCTGCGTTACTTTTATCAAAAGCGCCCCCCCTCTGGGTGTTTATCATAAAGCTTACTGGGAACCCCATGATATCCAACATTAATAACAAATATTCCCAATTAATCAAATCAAAAGCTTTCATTAAGTCAACTTTGATAGCACAACGAGAAGACAATTGTTTGTTATGATATCCACTAACCAATTCTTGAGTCATTAGTATATTGTCCACAATTCTTCTACCCTCAATAAAAGCATATTGGTTACCACTTGTAACAGTAGGGAGAACCTTCTTCAACCGATTTGCCAGGAGTTTAGCAATTATTTTGTATAGCAAATTAATGCAAGAGATCGGTCTAAAGTCTTTCAGAGCACAAGCAGATGGAATCTTAGGCAATACAGTAATGGCAGCAGAGTTGACACTACTTGGCAACCTTCCCAAATGAAAGAAGTCTAACACCGCTGCAGTAACATCCACAGCAATAATAGCCTAGGCTTTCCTATAGAACCCTGTTGAAAACCTTCCCCCAAAGAAAGCCAATTTGATACGAGATTTCTGTTTATACATGCTCTCTTCAACCTTCTTAAGTTCAAGCAAACGTGTTTCCAGATCAACCACCTACTTAAAAGATTGTTCATAAGGATCATCCAAAGCTTTTAAATGAGCATAATGTAACTGCCATTCCATCTCCTTCACCTGTCCACCTAGATCACCATATACTTCTTTATTAAATCGTTTTAACAGCTTCTTGGCCTCATTCAGTCTAGCCTTTACAACCATAATAGGAACACCCTACGGTTCCAGCTCCCAAGCCTGCTGGATCAGATGAAGGAATTGAGGGTCCTCTGTCCAGAATTCAAAGAATTTAAAAGGCTTTGGAAGAGATTTCTGCACAGGCTTCGTTGCAACAAGTATTCCTCGGTGATTAGTAAACGCTGTCGGCAGAATTTCCACTTTGCATTCAGGAAACTTATCAAACCAACTCTCATTAACCAAAGCTCTATCCAGTTTCTTCGCAATAGGATTATTTTCTTGCTTATTTGTTCATGTAAACTGAGGTCCAACTACTATGTGATCAAATAACTCCATGCTAGCCACCTAGTTTTTGAAATCATCTATACAATTCGTGTTATCTATAGGATTAGAAGTTTCCCCCTGGTATCAATACAACACTGAAATCCCTACCAACTAGTCATGGAATCCCACTAACCTTTGTTTGACATTTTTCTGGTAAGTCACCCTTGTCTCCATTTCACCATTTGATCCATAAACAGTAGTAAAGAACAAAGATACCCCATTCCACCAATTTAGCCATGCAGTGCACAAAACTCTTCCTAGGCAACAAAATACTAACATTCGCTACATGCGGATTCCAGAACAACCACACTCTCCCCAACTCAGAGTCCACATAATTGAAATGCCTCTTCCAGTCCTGACAAAAATCAACCACTACCTCATCCGCCTTTATTTCCTAACTCTCGTCTCAAGAATTGCTACTACATCTACTTTATTTTTTAATGCTTAAGTTTAACTTTTTATTAATATTTTTGATGACGTCTATTGCTCACTATGTAAAGTTAATATAATAAATTTTGAATGGAGATGAACTAAGTGATGATGTTTTTTAACAAAAAAACTAAGTGATGATTTTGTATACACTCAAACATACATTGTATTGAAACGTGAAAAAAATAAAAATTGGAATCGTTTTGTGAAAAGTGGAAATGTTTGTGACCATACATGCTAATTACCTCACCGCAGTGCGACCGGGAGAGAGAGGGGATTCCATTTCGTTTGTGGCAACAGAAGCAACAGCTGCTGCAGTGGGGGAGAAGTCGGTATCAGCCGTACATCTCAGCTCTGCAAGGTAGAAGATAACCGAATCGGAAAGGTCAGCCTGCCTGTTCCTCTTCTTCTGAATTTACAAACCCTACATCTGTTTCCTTCTCAGGTTTGTCTCCCATTCTTGCGTTGAGTTCCTCAATCTCATTCCGAATCTGCGGCGCCACCTCTTTCTTTCTCTTATTTCTTTCCCTCGGTTGTCCTTTTCGTATTCCATTATGGAAGGTCGGCCGAATTCTGTTGAATTCGCGCCACATTTGTTGGCTCAATCTGTGGTTCAATGGCTCGAGGGACATGTTAGTTTGCCTGCATTAAGCGGAAATTTTTGAAAATTTTGCTAGGTTATTGAGCTCTGCTTTCAGGATTAGCGATTGATCGTGCGAGATCTCTGGTTTTCCAACGGTTCAATTGCTACTACTAATTTGTTGCTGCAACAGTTTTGTCCTCTTTCCCCTTTGGGGATGATTTTTGGCTTCTGTTTTTTCCTCTATGGCTGCTCCTCTCTCTCCACCCCGGTCAGTGGACTGTATCCGTCAAAATTCAATCTGGTTGGCTACCCTTTCTCCGATTCGCTTGAATGGTTGATGCTGCGGAATTCTTATACATGTTTGTGTATATGCATGGTTATCCATCAACGAACGGCCTTCATGCTGTTGCTTTCTCGGCTGCTTGCATTTGATTTTATCGCGGATTCATTCTTGGGTTTGTATTTGAAGTTTGGGTGTCCATTGACAGGCTTCGCGATTGACCATCCTGCTTTGAGGGGCTCATGACATCGTCCATGCATGATCTTTCTGGTATTTATCTCAAAAACCGGTCTTGGTGATTCCATAACTGTGGCACAACTTTTTAGTTACTTTCAGAACAGACTATGCGAGCTTCAAGACTTTGAAAGATCTTTAATTTACCTTGCTGAATTGTTTATCCCTGTCGATTCTTTGTTAGGGGCCATTTCCTTTTTGTCTTGATTGGATGTAATGGATGGTCATCGTTAATTTCATTTGGTGGCTTTTATTCTCGGTGTTAAACTCCTTGCTTGATTATGTTGGTGCAATTTTAGCTTAATCTGAGATGGCTGTAGTAGAACATATTTCTGGTGGCAAGCAGCATATCATTTTTATGCATTTGAAAGCTCGTTTTCCAGAAAAAAATGAAGCGGATGAGCAACAGAAAAACTCAGAAGATCAGATTCAATCTCTATCTCCAGCAGCAGTGACACATCCTGGTGTTGCATCCCAGAAGATTCCTTTCTCGCCTGCTCCACAACTTGGGTCAGGACAAGCTATGGTATCTGAATCCTTTGTAGTTGCACGTTCTGTATATATGTGGTTGACTTGTGTGTTTCTGTTGTGTTCCTTTACATCTGATAGAATCCTTGCTTCTGGGTTCTTATAAACAAAGTGGAAATGTCGAAGTATTTATGTGTTCTTGTCCTGTTTAATTAAAGGTACCCCAAGCTTATCCCTATCCAGATCCTTACTGTAGAAGCATATTTACTCCCTATAACTCCCAGTCATATGCCCCGCAGCCATATGGTGCGCAATCTATGGTAAATCGTTTCGCTCTTTCAATGGTGTTACCGTACATGCGTATTTCCGGCCTATTTGAACGCAGTAGTTGGTCAGGTTTTTCGCTTGGAGTTCCTTCTATTCTTGTTCATACTTAACAAAAGCATTTTCAGGTCCATGTTCAACTAATGGGAATGCAGCAAGCTGGAATGCCTTTGCCATCAGATGCAGTTGAAGAGCCAGTATTTGTTAATGCAAAACAGTACCATGGTATATTGAGACGCCGACAATCACGTGCGAAAGCAGAATCAGAAAACAAAGCTCTTAAGAACAGAAAGGTAAAATATGCCACCCACAATAGCAATTCTGCAATGTTTGTGACTTCTAATTTCCATCTTTTTTCCCTGTTTGCATCATAATCCATAGATTCTATGTTTTCATGCTCCTGTTCCACTTTGATAATCTGCTCCTTCATAACAGCTCCTTGTATGCAAGTTTAATTTGTGCCTCTAACTGGATTTCGTGGATTTAAGGGGGATCACAGTCTTGGCCGTGGATTTTGTTTTGATATATGCTGCAAATAATTGAAATATTGAATTCGTTCTGTATGCTGTTATCCATTGAATTGCCTAGTTTGGTTTGTAATAGAAATTTTCCATCCAAATTCATGTGGTATGACTTGCAATTGCTACTCACTTTGCAGCCATACTTGCATGAGTCCCGGCATCTCCATGCAGTGAGAAGAGCTAGAGGATGTGGTGGCCGGTTCCTCAACTCGAAGAAGAATGGGAATCAACAGGAAGAAAACAACACTGGATCGGGCGATAGGACGGAATCGAACATCAATTTGAACTCCGATAAAAGTGATATGGCATCCCCTGAAGGAAGGAGTTAGTACTTTAGAATAGGGCAAGAGGCAGTGCAAGCAAGCGATACATGACGACGACAAACATATAGTTGTTTAATATCATGCTCGCTGAGAGGGAACCCTATATCCACCACTCTGGTCACGTAGCACGATAGCATGTATAGCAGCATCTTTTCTCCAGAGGCAGTGAGGTGTTTAGGGTGAGTTCCGGCCTTCTGGGGCAGCAGGCATTGTAATTAAGGATCAGAAAGGTAAAAATAGGTAACTTGGAATGGGTTTTATTTTGAAGCATTTTCTATTTTGATGACAGGGAATAGAACTGATACCGCCACCAGTTTGCTTCGCCGTATTGTCCGATGTAGTGTCAGGCTGGCAGGTTTCCTCGTCCACGGGAGAGTTTCTTATTGTCTAATAGCTTCGAGCATGATCCTTAAACCTTTTTGTCTAATAGCTCAGTTGAAGCATTGTTGTAGTCTCAGCAAAGATGTTTGCAGTGCCCGCGACATTTGCAATGCCCGTGTACAGACCCTCCTGGAAACATACGATCTTCACGGTTTGGGTGTTGAAATCCCGGTCTGTCAGACTTGATAATCTTCGCGTTTTTGACCATTTTGTTTCCTTTTCGCCCTCTTTCGTTCAACTTTCGATCTTGGTGTCAAGATTACTCTCTTATGTTTGAAACATGACAAAACACAAACAAATCCTCCATAAACTAGCTCCAATGATGGTGCAAACACATCAAACATCACAAGTAAAGGGGTACAAAAATGCGTAATCTAATATGCATCAGAGTGAGTAAAGATAATTGATTAATTTGTTTTCTGAAATTAGGAGAAGTTATATTTTCAAAATCCCCCCCTATCCAATGGAGTCTATATGAAGAGGTGATTATTGACCCATCATATTGACGAAATCAAACCCATAATGGCTTAATCACTCCTCAGATAGCATCAATGTTGAATCAATATATATGTTCATCCAAATAAAAAAATCATTATTGACTCTTGTATACATAACTAAGTTAGCCAACTACTTGCAAATCAATTATACTGTAAAATACATACCCTCCCATCATATTGATGAAATCAAACCCATAATGGCTTAATCACTCCTCAGATAGCATCAATGTTGAATCATTATATATGTTCATCCAAATAAAAAAATCATTATTGACTCTTGTATACATAACTAAGTTAGCCAACTGCTTGCAAATCAATTATACTGTAAAATACATACCCTCTCTTTGGGTGTATAACTGGCAGAGCTCCAAACCTGCAATTCTTACTTCCATCACCAGAACTTAAACCCTAATTAGTATTGAAACTTTACCAGACATAAATATAATATTTTCCCCATATATATAGTTGGTGCCAGATGTTTGGTTGTGGAAAAAACCTTTTCCCACACTTCGTTTCTCCTATTTATAGCCATCAGTTGTAACTGCTCTTGTAACTGTCGGCTGGCCGGTTGCTTCAACCGCCTCGGGGTCCCATCACCACCTTGCTGACTAATTGGTAACTTTCTCGTTCTGTTCACTCCTATTTTCTTGGGGCCCCTTGTCATGTCTTGGTGACTGGTTGGTATTTGATGGCATCGAAACCAGGTTGGTGGTGAGTGTTATCACCTTGTTCTGACCGGATTGTGGTTGGGACTCTTTGGCTTAACCTCCATGACGAAGTCGCGATCACACCCTTGACAGACCCATAACTCCACACTTAGATTTTGTTGCTATCGTCTTGCTCTTCTTGTCTCGGGATCGCCATCTGTTTGATGATATGAGATAGTCTCCTCCATGATGGCTTGGTACCACCATATCCTTGTTAACCTAGCCTCTTTCCCCACCAAGGCTCTCCATTTAGTCTTAGGGAGCTCCTCATGGTTCTAACTTGTCATCTCAGTGTCAAGCCCATCGTGTCGGCTTCATGCTTCCTGATACCCTACTCCCTTCCCCTGTCGGTAAGCCACTCTTACAACATTGTTAGTAAGTCTATCCTGTCACTTGGTACACCATCATCTTGCCATAAAAACAGTGTTTCCAACTTAGTTAGTCTCCATATGTCCCCTAAGGGGCTCGATACCAATTCCTCTTGTCAACTCGGGTACCTTGGCAGACAAGTCTCCACACTCGAGGTTCCATACCTAGTCTTGAGAATCTAAGAATTGTCCATGATGGCTTGGTACCCCGTCAGATGACCACCTAAGGTGGTCTTTAGACTTAGTTTTTTTAGAGCTCATCAAGTTGGGACCTTGGCGGCCTACTAGCCACCTTGGGTTGGCACCTTGCCAGCTTGATCTATATACTTAGTTTTTTGGAAGGTTTGATAACTTGAGACCCGTCATGTCTTGCCAGCTTGGTACCCTCTTTCTTGGCTACCAAGCCAGTTTTGCCAACTTGATATCCATACTTAGTTTGTGTATGTCTCTCTAATTTGTACCCGAGTTGGTATACAGGCCTCCAGCTACCAGTTAGTCTTATTTCCAAACTTAGTTTTTTAGAGCCATATATCTACCAACTGGCTTGTTACAAGGAGAGATGCGTCAGCTATCGAGACCATGGGGACGGTCGGCCACGTACCTAGGCCAAGGAGAGGGAGTTTGGTCACTTAGGCAAAAAAAACTCAACCCAATAAGGCTCATCTACCTCATTTAATGAATGATGTTGAGCTGACCTTATAAATCCATTAAATGTCTTGTAATTAATCGGTGGGGTAGGAGATTAATTTATAGGTGTAACCAAATGCCTCCAATAACTTAGTGCATACGTATTATGCACTAAGTTGTTGAGACCAACTTAACCAACTAACAATTTAACCAATCAACTCCCGTCCCGTGTGGCATGATTCGTCACATCCAATTTCATTTGTATTTACAAAAGAAGTGTTGGCTTAAGGACAAAAAACAACCACTTCTTTGCTCGGCGGTTTGGTGCCAAAAATTGAAGCTCTTTCAATCTCACTATCTTTGTATTTCTACTCTTTGATTTGGTGTGTAGAGGGTATGAGAGGTCAACTGTTTATAAGAACCGAGACCCCTCAAAAGGTAAATATCTCCTTAATTAAATGCATCCGATAAGATAATTACCTCATTATCTCTCAAATATTCCTTTTCTATCAATTATCTTTTTTAACGTATCTGTTAAGGGTACGAAAAAATTAAATTCAGAATTTCTCCAAAAAAATTAGTGTCAAACCAATCCATCCACCCGACCGACCGGTCAGACACATGACGTGCGCACGTGGTGTTCCATTAGGAGGGCATGTCCCTCAGAGAAAGAACTCAATCTTTATACACCTTTAACGTGTTCTCCCAGCAATATGATATTCTTTCCTTAAGAAATATAACTTCAAAGTTATTCACCATTTACAACATTAACTTGAATTTTTTTTCTCTAATTCCATATCTCCCTAGTCTCCTCCTTAGATCTATCAGAGCATCATTCTCTATCATCAAGGGCAGAGCCAAAGTTCAATGTTTGGGGGTCGGGGTTTTTTTTAATATTTTGTTAACTCTTTATATTTTGGTTCTCCTGGGCCCTAGCAAGGAGGTCCTGTTTGCGCAAGGGCTGCAGTTTCCATGGGTGGACGACCCAATGTTGGTCGAGTTGCTTGTTTTACAGGACGCTATGATGTGGTGCCTCGCCCAAGATTTCACGGCGGTCCGCTTTGAGGGGTACGCTAAGGTGATCATTGACAAAATTAATCGGGGTACCACTGCGTATAACCAGATGGGGGCCATTCTGGAAGAAGTTGTACATCTTTTCTCCTCGCATGTTGGGTTTGCTATTCAGTTTGTAGGTCGGCAAAACAATAGGGTAGCCCATTTGGTGGCTAGAAAAGCCCTCTCATTGTACCCGACTATGAGTCGTTTCTTCGATTATCAGGCCTGACTTAACTCTAGGATGTAACTACGTATGTTTCGATCACTATATGATTATCTTTTGTAAAAAAATAAAGGAAGATGGCATCGAATCCGCTTCTGGGGGTGAAGCAATGGAATCAGAAGCTGTGTGAGGAGATAACAATGGTTTGATTAGTTCAAGCGGTTTATTTCACTCCTAAATTCAAGACATTCCTTCTCCCCTCTCAGTTGGCCTTTGCCAGCCACTAGAGCAAGTAAGAGGCACCTAGGATCTATAGTCAAAGAAAGATGGAGGGACTGGTTGAAAGCGCCCACTATGTTCTTAAACAAAGTGTAATTACGTTGCATATTAAGTGTATGTATTGTTAGTAGCTATGGCGAAAAAACAGAAGTTGTTTGTATCAAGTGATAAGTGAATTGCTCAGTAGTGCTTCACCACTACCATAGGTGACGGAAATAGCTTAATTGTAGAGGATAGCCTTGCCAAGGCTGAGGTTTAGGGTTGAAGTCCTTGTTTCTTTCCCTGTCTTCTACTTTTACATACCTTCTAGCCTGAGTAATTGACTTTGCCCCTTCCGCTCCTCCATTTAAAAAGAAAGTGGTTGTTCGCTCTTGAACAAAGTGGGACAGTATCGTGGTAGAGCTCCTATCCGTGATTTGAATGATTAGAGTCACTCAATATACACCGAGAAAGATACATAATAAATTTCAATTTCGTGTAACCCATTATATTTTCATATTTGAAAATCAATGTCTAGTATTTTATAAACAATTTTTATTTATTCGCTATATAACCAAAAGTATTCTTTAATCTTTTCAAGTTGAAGAATTTAATTGAACTAAATTTTTATCGAAAGATTATAGAAAAATACAAGTTGATCAAAAGTCAAAACTAATGAAAGTCAAGGATTAATTGTTCAGTAATTATATTAAAATTAACGAAAGTAAAAGTCATAAGAAACATAATAAAACTGAAGAGGAAGTTGGAATTGCATATTGTACTCAAATGGAGTTGAAACTTTACCATATAAGAAAGATATTTGGATTTTCTGTGAGGAACTGATAGGAAAGAATTGATTGAAGGCGTGATAAGATCACTCTCCTTAGAGTGTTAATTGCCCCCACTACAAATTGTTGGTAGGCTCGAGCAAACAACCCCCAGGAGTCCCTTCAATTTTAAGTCTGGAAGCAGCAATCTTGCAGACTCATGTGGTTATGAAATAGAGAAGGAAAACAGGAAGAAGAAGTATTCTCTCGTCCATGTTTCGTCTAAAAAGAGTTATGGCAGGATCTATTTATAGTTGTGAAAATTGGAAGTTACCTTCCGAAGAGACACATCCTTTCACAAAACAAGGTAGTTACCTTTCCCGAAAGGACACCTTTTTCACAATATTCAAACGTTAATTAATTGATATAAAAATTAATTACTTAATTAATTAACCTGTCAAAAGACTCAATACCTTCTCCGCGGAACTCCCTCCCCCCCGTCCCATCTGCCTCATCTTTTTCACTCTCTGATTCAGTGTCCGGGTCCATTGCCGCTTCTCGATGATGAAACACTGGACATGTTTCAACACAGCAGCGGTGTTCCAATGCATACCAGGATTCTTCGGGCGGACCTTCTTATGCACGGCAACAACAACCTTGGTCATGCAATCTCCTAGCACCTTTTGGAACGCGGTAGAGTTCTTGTAGGAACGAATCGCATTGGCTTGAGCCACGCAGACAACCTCCACCTTCTCCTGGTCATGAAGTTTGACCAAATCCTCCTACTCCTGCGTAAAGTCTGCGTGTAGCTCCTTCAACATGTGAGCATGGTCTGCCTCCAAATGATTCTTCTCAGCGACATGACCATCTGATGACTTTCGCAATTCCTCCTCGTCCTCACTTCGAGCCTCAGCGTGGATAGCTTTGTACTCTACCGCGTTCCATTTTGGTGCTGCTTCTTCTAGTACCGCAGGGCAGAATGGGCTCCGGGCGGTGGGGCCGACTTTTACTATTCTCGTAAAAACGGAGAAGAGTGATCTGCTTCAGGATCTAGCACAAGTTCATTTTGCCACGAGTGTAACTTGCGTCTGTGCTAACTCCTTCTTTCTTGTTGTCTGTTTGGTTTGCGCATTTGTAAAGGTACTGAGCGGAATTGTTATCACACAGGTTTTGTGGGCCACTTTCCGTGCTCAACAAGAGAGGACCAATGAGGGTTAAGGTGGAGATAAACAAGGTCATTCAGTTGGAGGGAAAGATACGGGACACGGAGGCCAGGACGAAGGCAGCTACCCAGCGGGCTAATGAAGCCTTGGACCGGATTGGTGTTCTGCAGAGCAAACTCAATGATGCGTTGGAAGCAAAAAGGGAGAAAACCCAGAATGAGGAGCGCAAAGCTATCCATGCTGAGGCTCGAAGTGAGGACAAGGAGGAATTGAGAAAGTCAGCGGATGGTAATGTCGCTGAGAAGAATCGTTTGGAGGCAGACCATGCTCACATGTTGAAGGAGCTACACGCAGGCTTTACGCAGGAGTAGGAGGATTTGGTCAAACTTCATGACCAGGAGAAGGTGGAGGCTGTTTGCGTGGCTCAAGCCAACGTGATTCGTTCCTACAAGAACTCTACCGCGTTCCTAAAGGTGTTAGGAGATTGCATGACCAAGGTCGTTGTTGCCGTGAGTAAGAAGGTCCGCCCGGAGAATCCTGGTATGCATTGGAACAGCGCTGCTGTGTTGAAACATGTCCAGTGTTTCATCATCGAAAATCGCCAATGGACCCAGCACTGAGTTAGAGAGTGAAAAAGATGAGGCAGATGAGACGGGGGAGGGAGTTTCGCGGAGAAGGTTATTGTCGATGACTAGGGTTCGAATTTGTGGCCATTGTGGCTATATTTATCATTTATTTTTGTAGACATGTTTTGGGATTATCCTCGCTAGTTCCATCTTTTGATGAAATCAATGTTACTTTTACCTTCTAATTCAGCGAACATAACTCGCGGTGATCTATGTCTCTTATCTCATTTTGAGAAAATTTTAGTTGTTTATTTTGTTACATATAATTGTTATTGCATGGGATTTTGAGCTTCTTTGTTTGCGTTCGGTTATTGGGTTAGTAGTAATTAGGGCCAATTATGTTAGTCCATGGGGAACTAGTGCTCCGTTTGGGTGGCGGATTAGTGTAGGGGCCGAGTGGCCAAGGTAATTGTTGGGTCCGTTAGGGTAAAGGCTTAAGCATTAGGTTTTCTCGTTCTAAAAATATGTAGTTTTGACGTTAGTTCTGGTTATCGAATTGATAAACAAAGGTCGTTCGACACCAACATCGTTCTCTCACTTGTGAGTTACAAGCAACCCTTGACTCGTGGGAAACGAGTTGCCATCAACTTGTCTTTAAACATTATTCTTGTGATTGGATTCTCATTTAATTTATGAGTTCTTCTCCCTGTATACTATGACTGTTGGGCCTTTGTTTTGTTTCATTTTTTGGCGTGTTTTATGCATTTGGCTTGTTGGATGCAGGTTATGCCCATTGAAGGCTCTGCCATGGCAAAATACGACGCTCTCTGTTCACAAAGGGGCTCATATTTCACACTCGACAACTCCTTAATCGTCGCTTCCATCTTTCTCTCCACCTCATGCACTACATGCATATCTGTTCGGTCTCCGATCGATTCCTGTGTCGGCGCAGGCATTGGGCTTCACATGTGGTGACACGTGTGACAATGTGAGCCCTTTCACCAGATTCATCGTTGATTGGTTCTGGTGTCGGAGCAAGGATCACCCTAAATCCATCTTCGCCGTCTCATCCCAAACCCTATCCTCAACACCTGCTTCTCTCCTCCTCTCTCGATGAAATCCCGCAAATTAAATTTTAGGTCCCGTTCCAAGGTCCTTTGCAGCGGCGCCATCCTCAATGCAACCGGAGCAAGATTGGTCAGTAAGTAACCATTGGTTACTCACTTCTGAGCAATTAAATTTGGACCTTTGGATCTAAGTGTGTCAAGGAAATCTAGATCTAAGAGTTGTGAATTAAAAACATTTTATTTTCCCTAGTTTTCTTAATATGCTCTTATCTTCTTCATTCTAACTCAGATTTCAATTTTTTTGCTCAGATGAAACGAGTTTGTTGAGCTCTACAAAATGAGATCCATTTTCAATATTCTTTTAGAATTTTTTTCATACTTCTCGTTACCAACTTCATACCATATGGTATCTCTTTCATTTTAAGTCTTATTTTAAAATATTTGCATAGAAGGAATGAGTTTATCATGATCTATTAGATCTACAAATTTCTGGTTGAAAAAAAAATACATGAAAAAAACCATAATATACCACCCTGGTATGGGGCATTGTAACTTGTGGTACACAATGATGAAAGTCGTAAATGACAGTTATTATACTCCTACTATCATGTATTCAACCATCCTACAGTCTTGGTATGTTCATACCACTATGGTATGCTTTCATACCATATGGTATGCTCTTATTTAATACTAGTCAATACCATATGGTATAGATTCGTAAAAAATGCCTCAGTTTTTTCTTCTTCTAAAAGTATATCAAAGTGGATATCATTTTGAAGAGCACAATTAATCTAATTTATTTGTGCAAAAAAATTTAAATTCCGACTTAAAATGAGAGAGAAATCGTCCGTTAAAAATTAAAGGGGAAAATATTTAAGCTTACTATAAGAGAAAGGATGCTGATGTCACGCTGATGTGGATCGGTTACTCATTGTTACTGACCCTAAGGTTACTTACTGAATCTGCTCTCTATGCAACCAACACAAGCGTGATTGTCCGTGACTAAGGATGAGGTCAGATTTGGATATATAAATAAAAATAAAGTATAGCTAACTCATAATTGGTGAGTGGGAGAGGAAAATTAAAATGAACTATTGTTATTTTTATGATTTTTCAATAATTCCAATTGTGAGGTGAAAATTAAAATAAATAGTTATTTTTATTATTTCTTATTTGGTATATAATCCATTTAACGGTCAACTATCTGACTTGATCGCCATGCAGGGGCAGACCCAGCTGGAGGGAAGGGGTGTCTCGAGACACCCCTAAAGTTTGGGAGAAAAATTAATCAACCCTTGTAGTTGTTTGCGTATGGAAAAACATAAAAAATAATATTATATGTGATTCGAATCTATAACATAATAGTCATTAGTAAACATCTTTCTATTTTACTACACTTCATTCATTGTTGTAATGTTTTCATAAATATAATTATAAACGTATAGTTGTTATCCTCTGTTTTTCCAAAGTCTAAAACTATCCCTTTCTCACTGTATTATAACATACAATTTTATCTTAAAGGTTTTGGTCACCTTTCCAATTCTTGTCTTCTACAAGATTTTGAGAATTATAGTCATTGTGTTAAAATGACGCTCCTCGAAGTTATATTGATTTTATGGGCTACAACTCCAAGTATTGAGAGAGATTTTTCAGCTTTGTGTTACATCAAGAACAAGTTTCAGAATCGAATAGGCGATCAGTTCGTGAATGATTATACAAAATGTATTGGAAGAAATTTGTTGAGCATTGTAGCAATAAGTAACGTAAGAAAGTTTTACCACTACACCATAACTCATTACTTGTTTGTTAATTAAAAAAAGGTAAATACAATATATTAGTCATAACTATTAAGCAGCGGGGAATCATAGCCACAACTATCGAAATACAAATTATTAGCCATAACTATTGTTGCAGGTCATGATTTGGCTAACAACCCG